TACGTGTTCCATGTGTTTTTCAATGTTCCCCGACCCCCCCCCCAGTGGACATGGAGGGAAAGTTGAGGCCTTCGGGTTGGGTTGGGGTCGGTGGGTGGTGAGCTCGATTGGGATCGCCGAGGGCTGGGCACCCGGCAGCATGCAGCTCGTGCTGCTGCTCTGGCGCCCGATGCAGCCCCCTCCCACGGGCGGTGCCCACACCTGGGCCAGCGGCGCCCGGAGTGGCGTCGAGGCGTCGGGGGGCGCACGGACCCGGGTCGTTGCCAGCCCGGGCCAGCCGCGCCATGCGAGATCCTGCAAGATCCTGCAGGATCCTCTGAGCATTTTCTGAGGGTGGAGGGCTCGGGGTGAAATCCGTATGGGCTGTCGCACCTCGAAAAGCAATCCGTCTTGTGATTCACCTTTTGCAGATTCAAGCCTCGAAGATCGAAACGGCATTTCAGATGTCACCCTTTGCCCTCCACCCAAAGAAAATGCTCAGAGCCCGGGTCGGTGCACCCCTGGCGCTGCAGGAGCCTGCAGGGTGCGGGGCTCTGGCCGACCTCCGTCTGCACTGACCCCCCGTCCCGCGAGCCCCGAAGGCGGGAGCCGCTGGCTCCGCCAGATCCCAATGGTCCTCCTCCTCCTCCTCCTCCTCCTCCTCCTCCTCTCCTCCTCCTCTCCTCCTCCTCCTCCTCTCCTCCTCCTCCTCCTCCTCCTCCTCCTCCTCCTCCTCCTCCTCCTCCTCCTCCTCATCATCATCATCATCATCATCCCCCTCTCTTCTCCTCCTCCTCCTCCTCCTCCTCCTCCCCCTCTCTTCTCTCTCTCTCTCTCTTTCTTCTCTCTTTTTCTCTCTCTCTCTCTCTCTTTCTTTGGTTCTCTCTGGCCAGGGATTCGTCCTGTTCGCAAACTTGCCGTCGCTCGGATGTCGGAGCTTCGAGATCGATTGGATCGATTACGAATGCTACTCCGTGGAGCGGGAACGAATATGGCAGCCTTGTGGCGTGTTGGCCTGCTTCTTCCCGTCGGTCATGGAGTGGCCGTGGCTGTTGCGTCTCCCACGGAGCTCGCCAGCCTGAAACAGGTCGCTGGCATGCTATTCGGGCGTCCTTCGGGCAGTACCTCCCTCACCCTCTACCTCGCCACCCAGAAGGACATAATGTATGACCCAACATACAATGCCACGAGGGAGCCTCTCAGGAACTACACCAGCTTCATGTTGGACCAACGCATTCCGTTGGGTAGGCTCCAAAAGGCCTGACAGGCACTCAAGGATCAGGCTCAGGAGAAGATGTCTTGGGCTGGAATTCGTGGGCCTCTCGTGCCTCTCGAGGTATTTGTGTGCCTTCTCGTTCTGATCCTCCCCTTCGTCCTCATTTTCCTCCTCCTCCTCCTCCTCCTCCTCCTCCTCCTCCTCCTCCTCCTCCTCCTCCTCCTCCTCCTCCCCGTCGCCGCTGCCACTGGCGTCGGCGCCGTGAATGCCTGCGTCGTCCTCGTCCTCGGGGCTCTCCCGGAGGGCACCCGCCCCCTCCGGGAGAGTGTCCCGACGTCGTGGCAAAGGCCGGCGCGCCCCCCCCCCCAGAAGATGCCGGCTCCCAGTCGTCGTCATCGTCGTCGTCGTGGTCGTCGCCGCCGCCGTCGTCGTTGTCGTCGTCGTCGTCGTCGTCGTGGTGGTCGTCGTGGTCGT